TAAGAATGTACAGTGCCTTGAGGTTGATCAAAAACAAAACTGGGTTAAATAAAAACAACAGCAACCAACAAGCAGAAACTTGCTCTTTTTAAAGGGTATACCTTGCCACGTTGCATGCTGATTTCCAGCAGCAATTGAACCTGGTACTCGGAACAATTTAAAAAAAAAGATTTGTGTGTACATATTGGAGGTTACATGAAATGAGTCCGTGAAAATAGCAATAGTAATTTTATAGCAAATCGATCCATCTTAAAATCCTTTCCTTTCTCCTTCCTTCCTCCCTCCCCTTCTCCATCCTTCTCTCCTCTTCCCCTCCCCTTCCCTCCTCCCCTTCTTTCTAAAATCACACTTGCTTTTCATATCTGCTTCAGAGGTGGGTATTCAGCCAGTTCTGACTGGTTCTGGAGAACCGGTAGTGGAAACTTTGAGTAGTTCGGAGAACCGGCAAATTCCACCTCTGACTGGCCCCGCCAACCCCATCTATTCTCTGCCTCCCAAGTCCCAGCTGATTGGCTAATTGGCTGAGCCTCCTTTGGTTGCCCTGCACAAGAGAATGGAGCTGGAAAGCAGGTTAAGTGGGGTGGGGGGGGAATGGGATTTTTCAGTAACCTTCCCCTGTCATGCCCACCAAGCCACACCACGCCCACCAAGCCATGCCCACAGAACCGGTAGTAAAAAAAATTGAATACCACCACTGATCCACTTGTTGCTCTGCCTCCAAAAGCCATAGTAAACTACACCCTGTATCCCATTCTGTGTTTCTGTGACTGAGAAGGGTGTCTGGATGGAGTGCACTTTCACCCCTTCTCTGGCCCAACAGACATAAAGAAGAAAATTGGAACAGGGAAAGCAAGCACGCCACAAAAACTGTCGAAAGTGATAAAAATCTTAATGTAGCTGCAGAGCATTAGTCAGCCTTTTCTGTGGAAAGGAGAAGAAAATAAGGCCGCTTTCAGACTGCCTTAAAAGCCAAGCGGCTTTTATGTGTGTGCCTGTTTTGCTGAGTTCTCTCAGCAAAAAAAAGAGATCCTATCTCACACAATAAGCTTCAGCCCTGCCAACCTACCCTAGTACAAAGCAAAGTTGACTGCCTTTGTATTTAATTTCCTTTCAGTTCTGGCTCTCATCCTTCTTTGTCCTACAGTGGTTTGAATGAAGCAGCTTTCTGCTAACAACAGCAACTATGGAGTGGATTTTTCCTGTGGTTTCTGATCTGGCTCAGCTTGGAGACAGATGCCAGAAAATCTCCATGCTGCTACCATTTCCCTAAAAATACCACTTACCCTGAAAGTAACTCCTAGCTTGATTTTTACATGTGCTCCCAATATAAGCCCTACCCCCCAAAATAAGCCCTAATTAAGATCCCACCCAGAGTGCATGGTAAAAATTAAGCTAGGGTGGGATTGGTGGAGCTGCCCTTTTACTTACCCTTTGGACAGTTGCAGCCAGGCCTTGCACTCCTGAAAAATATGACCTACCCTGAAAGTAAGTCCTAGCTTGATTTTTACCGGTGTGCCCAATATAAGTCCTACCCCCAAAATAAGGATTAATTAGGATTAAGATCCTGCCCACTCCAGAGTGGATAGGTAAAAAATTAAGCTAGGGTAGGGGTGGTGGAACTACCCTATTACTTACCTTTGGACAGTTGCAGCCAGGCCTCACATACCCCGACACCTGGCTCACTGGCCCATTTCTTCTGCAGCCGGTAAGGCTGGCAAAGCTTTCCTGAAGGCCTCTGTAGCTGATTACAAAGCTCTGGATAGACCCAGAGCTTGGTTATTGGCTGCAGAGGCCTTCAGGAAAGCCTTGCTGGCCGTAGAAGAAGTTCCCGAAGGCCTCTGACAGTGAAAAGGAGGCCAAGGGTGATGTGCGCAAGTGAGGTTAGTCAGTGGATGACATCCCCTGAAAATAGGACCTGGTGCCTTTTTTGGTTCAGGAAAAACATGGTATAACTGTGGACTTTTTTTTGCAAAGAATTTACAGGTTGTGAAGGAGCCTTTCCCCATACCTCCTCCAGCAATGACACAGGAGGAGTTAACCCACGAGTGGTGGGTTCGTATGGCTTCTCCATTAAAACAGAGGTTCAGTGTTCAACAACAAAGTGCTTGCAAGAGACTTTGAAGAACAACACAGTCACTTTTAACTTTTGCTTATCTTTCAGAAGGTAAGGCTCCACATAGAAATCCTTGTCAGATAAATACAGAACGCTTATGAAATACTTCAGCTTAGGACCAAATCTTTAGAGGTGAGTATTAGAATAACTTTATGACTAAGTGTGAACTAGGCTAGGGCATATTTAAAGAGGAGACTTTACAATCAAAAAAAGGAGTTCTCTGTTGTTCCTCATTAAAAGTGTACAGAGTTCACCAGGTGAGCAGCTGCCAACACAGCTGGGCATATACACCACAGCTCCTGCTTTCAGGGCAGTGTGCTTCATGCCCCAACGATACAAACAGCATCCACCGTAGACATGTAGGCTGTCAAACAAAGGATTCAGGTTTCCCGATCCAGCAGCCAACCCAACTCAGATAAACTGTGAAAGCAATCTAAACACACACTGACAATTCAGAAAGCAGGAGGTGAATGTGTCTATGCCTCTAGCTCCCAATTCATAGTCATTGGAGCCGGTGCAGAAAAGCCACCGATTATGTTATGAGCATATTGACTGAACGTAGCTACTTTTCTAGCGTGCAAAATGCACAGGACACAGTCAATTGGCTCATTTATTGGCAGTTCACTTCCGTCTATCCGGGACATGGCACATAAGTGATGCTTGACCGGGGGGCTCAGGATTGTCTGGGATGCTACATATCCTCTCTACAACCTGTTTTCCTTGTTACCTTCAGGGAGGAGGAGGTTTCGTAGTATCCGAAGCAAAACATCCAGATTCAGTCAGTGTTTTGTTCCATATAGCATCAACCTTGTGGACATAGAAGCATCCGCTTTCCGATATGTATTTAAGATGGACAATTTTATACATGTAGATAGATGATATATATAGAGATATACAGTATATAGAGATATATACATATATAGAGATATTGATCTCTGTCTATATAAATATATATATAGATGGAGATCAATGGAGATTGATCAATAGATAGATAATAGAATTCTTTATTGGCTAAGTGTGATTGGACACACAAGGAATTTGTATATACACACGCACACGTATGTATATGATGTATGTATATATATGGGTGTAGGTATGTATATGAAGGTACATATATACATTTATACAGTCTATACACATACGTACACACATATATTTATATGTATATAGCATGTGTATATGTATACTTTTGCTAACAGTCCTACAGATTCTTCAGTCTTCTTCTTTCATATTTTTTTTATTCCTACACATCCTTCTCCCATTTCATTTTTAAAAGCACTATTGACAACTGTTGCAGTCATCTTCTTGCCAGCTTCCTCTCCTCAAAAACTTTTTCCTTTTTTAAGGTGTGCATTAAAGAAAATGACGAGGAAGTTCACTTATCTCTCGAGGGTTGATATAAAACGTGCTAAATTTCTACTCAAGGCGTGGAGGAGATGTCAACCCTTTCTGGGAAGGCAGGAACTTTCTTTTGAATCGGGTGTTTGTCTGTTTTTTTCTCTCCCCGGCTTTTAACGTCCCAAGGACAGAATTTTGAGAAGCGGGTCGCCTTTTAAAGCTGCGTTGTAAATAAAACCTTCACCCACCCACCCACCCCCAGCAGGATTTGGGGAGGGGGGGGGACGGAGAAGGGGCGACTTGAATGAAAAGGCGGGAAGGGCACGCGGTTGAACACGCGCCCCCCTTCACACACACACACACACACACACACACACACACACAGAGCCAAGCCTGGGTCAAACTTTCCTGCCCACGCGTGGGAACGGCTGATTCACGCTGCCCACGGCAGAAAAGAGGCCGCGGTGTTCTTTCTGACTGACCGATTGACTCCATCCCGCGCTTGGGACGGGGGGGGGGCGTGCTTTGCCTCTGGCCAACCACCTGTCGGAGGTGAGGAGGGCTTAAAGGCGCAGAGGTGGGGAGGGCCTAAGAGGGGCAGCGCGGGAAGAGAAAATAATAAAATAAATAAAATAAAATAAAAATAAATAAAATAAAGGAAAGCCGTCGCGCGTGGGGAGCCACGCTTTGCACCCGCACACACCCCCCCCATTGAACGGGGGGGGGGGATCCACACACTTGCAGCAAAACCTGCTCAGGAACGTGAGCTCGGGAGATGCTGGGAGGCGGGGCCAAGAATGGGTGGGGGCGGGCAGGAGAGGGGCGGCTTAAGACCCTATTGGTTGGAGGGAGGAGGAAAGAGGCGGGGCGGACCTTTTCCCGGGAAACTTGGGGTGGAGGGGTGGGAGGAGCGGGGGCGGAGCCAAGGCCAAGAGGAGAAAAAGGTGCGGGCGAGGCGAGGGAGCCGCGCACAGGAGCTCGCTGGGCGGGAGAGTCGCGCCGCTGCTCCGGCTTCCCTTCGGGCTTCGTTCGGCGTCCCTGCAGGCTCGCCTGGGCTTTTATCAGCCAACCCCGCGGCTGCTGCGATGCGCCTGATCCAGAACATGGGGACCATCGCCGAGTATCCCCAGGCAGAGCACGCCGGCAGCGGAGACGCCTGTGGGCGCCCTCGGCTCATCAAGATCGCCGTGGTGGGAGCCAGCGGGGTGGGCAAGACCGGTGAGTGTTGTGGGCGGCCGGTGGGGCGGGGGAAGGGGAGAGGAAGGCTGGAGGAGAGAGCCTTTCTTTCTGTCTTTCCTTCTTTCTTTCCCTTTTTCCTTCTTCCTCTTTCCTTCTTTCTTTTTTCTTTCCTTCCTTCCTTTCCTTTTTTTCTTTCCTTCTTTCTTTCCTTTCTTTCCTTTTTTC